GTTTTGCGCTGCAGATATTTTTGTTTTTAAATGGAGAAAGAGTTAAAATGAGGAGTATTTAAATATAATGTATACTTTTAGCTAAGTATTTTAGTTAAGTATTTTGGCTTCGTGTTATATAGTTATTAAGTGCAGAAATGTAGCATACATTTTAGCGTCGCACTTGAAATTTTTACTTTGCGCAGTATTTATTTTAAAGAAGTAATGAAATAATATTTTTCACAGAAGCTAAAGCGATACGACATACTTTTTGGGATGTTTACTTTGCGCTATTTAGTAATTAAAATTGAATAAGTGAAAAAAAAATGTTTGAATAAATTAGTTTACAAAAAAAAAAAACACATTATTTAAGTTTATCAATTTCTAATTCTTAAATTTAAATATCGTATTTTTCTCTTTTTAATTTTTTAAAAATATTTTGTACACATTTAAAAATTTTGTTTGAACCAATTTTTTATTTAAATATCTTGTAGCTTACTTAAAGCTTCAAAAATATGTTCTAGCTATATTGAAATTAATGTTTTCGAGCTCTAGCACAAACACAAATACACCTATATGTATATGCGCATATATTATATAATAGTGCTTCTTACCTCATTCGCCACACACATGTAAAAATCATTTATTTCCCCACTTATTTATCATTTGCCATTTCTCACAGACTATACTAGCGTATAAAATTGCGTACGTATGTGTGTTTGCCACAAGACATTTATTTTTATATAGCGCTTTTTCCATTGCTTGTCACGCTGCGACTCAAATCACAAACGAATGCGCTGTAACGCAGAAAAAGCAATGGTTCGCGCATTAATATTGCACACAACCACACATTTGCGCATATATCGTTGTGTGCGTGTGTGCAAGGTTGGTAAATGTTGGTAAATGTGTCACATACGTCAGCATATGCATCATCATTACCTTTATATTGTAGCGAATTTCCTGTGCCTCTTCGAGGACTGCGTTTCACTCTAGGTCGCTGCTTCTTACGAATTTGTGCGCCACTGGAACTTGCCACCACACAAGCCAACTGCATATCTTTGCTACGCAGGTTCCACATTTAATTCCACCTTACTTAATGCAGCACAATTGACAGTGGTATCTGTTTTCCACCCAACCGCTCTCTTAACACACACACACACACACATGAGGCGTCTCCGCTGCCCCACGGCACACTTGCGAGCAAGTGTTTTTCTTTTTGCCTTTTTATCATTGTCTGTCGCGTATTTGTGCGCGTAATTTGTTCTTGTCTTACGTTTGTAATGATGTCACGTAAATTGAATCCGTAAGTTCGTTATTATATTTCAAAAGATACTCAAGCTTATGCTCGGTAGTTCGAAGATGAGCGGGCGCCATGCTTGAACTGTGTGTGTAGTGGTGTGGAGCAGTGACAACCAACAGTTTGCATTATTGTAATCATATACTATATATATACATATATATATACGCATATGGTTGCATAGCTTTGATTGAGGTAGTCTTTCATGCGCAATTTCCTCTCTCCACTCTCTTTGCTGTCATGCTGTTGTAATTGAGGTAGAAATGTAAGAATGCCGAGTTCAAAGTGAAAATGTTGTAAATTGAGACATTGAGCGAGTATGAGAGAGAGAGAGAAGCGCAGGAAAAAGTCATTAAAAGTTGTAGAGCGAGTCTTTAAATGCAATTTAGTGGCTGTGAGTCAGGCAAGTGCTGACTTTAGTGTTGGCAACAAAGTGAAGTTATGTGTTGGTTTATATTTTTTTTTCTTTTGAAAATCAATTTGAATTGAAAATCGTAGATTTTTTGTGGAAAATCACTTTTTAAGCTTTACCTCTTCCTAATAGAAAGCTGAGACTAGTAAATTATACAAATTTTGAATGAGTATCGAAGATTATATTAGCTTATAATAAATTTAAATAGTTATTTTTATCAAATTTAATTAAGAGTTCCTTATACAGGTTTTTTTTGGATCGAAAATCTATATATATATATACATTTAAAATTTTTAATTTAGACTTTTTTGTTCTAATTTCTTGAAATTTTAAATGAGTTCCGGTATCGAATGTAAATATTTATAGTCTTAATATTCTATCTCAGTTTTATTACTAGAAGCCAAATCGCCCAATCAAATTTTTAATATTTTTTTAACATATAAATCCGAAAAATCTAATAAAAGAGTTTATATATGTATGTATAGCCACTTGCTGACATCTGCGCATTAAAGCTTCAAGTCGGTCTGTGTTAATCACAAAATCCTGAAAAGAATCTTTGCTTACCGCAAGCAATTAAACTTGTCGCAAATAATTGCATTTACGTACAAAACTTTGATTCTCGACTACACGCGCTCACTCTAACCTCACATTTCTGCCAATATTCACACAATTTTCATACTGCACCCTTTCACTAACCTGTCGCCATCTTTAACGTTTGCTGACTTGACTCGCCGCACCAACAAATGATAGACACTAACAAGTCGGACGATTGATGCAGCAGCAGCCGCAAGTTGAACTGCAGACCGCAAAAAAAAATAATTGTCATCAGCATCATCATCACCAAGACAATGTGCACCGAATGAAATGCTGTGCGCCATGGCGTATGAGTAACATCAGTTTTGTTTGCTGGCATTGCCAATTATTTGTTTGTTTGCTTGTATATTTGTACGTATGCATTCAAAAATGCACACGGCTGCTTTGGCGCTAGCGATAAGACAAGTTTTATGTACTAAAAACTTTGATGCTTGTTGCTAAGAAGTTTATATAGGTATATCTATATAGCGAGTATAGCTAGAGCAAAAGCTAGAAGATGTTGAAGAGTTGGAAGAAATAACTAACTAGCAGTTGAACGCATTTGTTGGCTAACTGGCAGTTCGAGTGGATTAAGAGTGATGCCAGCCAGGCAGCTTCAAAATATTTTAATACATATATACAACTTGCAGTTAGCTAAGGAAGAGAAGAGGGTATTTATGTATAGCCGAACAGCTGCCATTCAACCGCAAAGCAAGGAGCAATGCAATTGCAAGAATTAAATGGCAAAGGACTTGACTGATGAAGAATGCAGCAGTAATTCCCGACCAATTTCCGTTGTCGGATTAGTGAAAACTTTAAACTGTTGCCCAAGTGGCGAAGCGCACACAAACAGGCAAACAAACAAACCGGCAAATGAAAAGGCGAAACAGTTCAAGAAACGGCAGATAGACAGTTAGTTGATTGTGCAGAAAGCAGGAACTGAAACTTGGCTGAATAGTATAGGCATACAGACAAGTGCTTAAGTATAAGATTATATATATACAAGTATGAGTCTCTCATCTCTTATACGCTCGCCTGCGCTCTTTCTGGCCAGCGGGAGCAATGAAACGATTAATATTTTGACATCGTCCTCTAGCATAGTTTAAAGGTCACACGCATACATATGCATTTGCTTGTTGACATATAGATACACGCTATTGCTTTGCCTGCGGTTTGCGCTCCCTCAAAGCATACGCTGTGCGCTGAGCACTACTTTGCTTGACTTTGTTCGAATGTCCTTTCTGTGTTATACAATACTTAAAGTTTTAGCTTTCGGCTTGTGGCTCCAAAGGCATACCCATACATACATATGTATAGATATGAGTGTGTGCGTTTTGCTTGGCAAAGTTACTGCTGCGCTCATTTTCTTCATTTTATTGCTTGCTGCGGTAAGATTTGTGAAATTTCTTGCATATTTCTTGTTCTTTATTACTATTTCGTTTTCTGTTTTAGTCCTTTTCTTTTGCATACTTTTGCCTGCTTGTTGGTTATAATTGTTTGACATCGCTGTCAGCGCTTTAAATTGAATTGGTATGCATTGCTTGGCTGCAAGTCAAAGTGACAATGGCAATAAACGTGTCAAAGGCTATCGTATATGTAAGGGGAAGGACGCGTATGGAATTTCTGTAGTTAGCCCGTTGTCCTAACTTTTGCAGCTGGGTATTGATAGGTTAAATGGAAAAATTTCTAAGTTTTGGTATATTTAAATATAATTATTTTATTAACTATTAAATAAACAAATAAAAAACTTTCCTTAATCCATTTTTGGTGAAGTTATTGAAACGATTCAGGGATGTTACTATTATCAAAGTTAAACTTATTGATGTACGTTTTGCTTTTCAAGGAAGTATTTGAGTTTTTTTTTAACTATTTTAATATTATTAATAGTGTTATATTCCCTTTTATAACTTTTGCGAATTTCTTTTATAAATATATTTAAATTTTTGTTTTAACTTAATTTAATATGAGTTGCCCTGTTTCAATTTAAAATTAAATTTAAAATTATTTTAGTTTAACTTTTAATTTTAACTTTACATTTTATTGTTAATTTTAGTTTTAGTTTTAAATCTAATTTTAATTTTTATATTTAATTTAGTTTTAGGTTTAATTTTTGAGTATTAACATAAACTTAAATTTTACTTTAAATTATTTAACTTGAATTATCTATATTTATTTTAATATTAATTTTAATTTTAATTTTAGTTTTAATTTTAATTTTAATTTTAATTTTAATTTTAATTTTAATTTTAATTTTAATTTTAATTTTAATTTTAATTTTAATTCTTATTAAGTTTTAATTTTAATATTAATTTTAATTTTAATTTTAATTTTATATATTTTTTTAAATTTATTATAATATTATTAAGTGTAATTTTAATAATTTTTTTTTTAATTTTTATTTATCTTATCTTATTTATTTTTTTAGTTATTAATTTAACTTTTATTTTTAATTTTATATTTATTTCTATTTTTAACTTTAATTTTGTTTTAAATTTTCTAATTTTTATTTAATTTTTTATTTTACTTTTAATTCTTATTTTAATTTTAATGTTAATTTTAATTTTATATTTTTTTTAAATTTAATATGAATTAATTTAATTTAATTTTAATGACTTTTTTTAAATTATTTTATTTGATCTTATATAATTTTTATTATTTTATTTTAATCTAATTTTTTTTTTCCCCTTAAAGATAAATATATATAAATGTACATATGATGATGTATATACTTCAACTTACCGCTTCGACTTTCACTTTCAGCTGGCTTGAGCTGTAAAGCACGGTTCATCTACAATAAAGAAAAGACGAAATATAAATTAGAAATCAAATTTTAATAAAATGCATAGAAATTCTTTGTGTGTCATTTCTGGTTGACCGCAGCAATGCAGCACCAAAAGCACTTAAACTGAGCAATTTTCAAATTGTAAATTCATTTGCAGAAGATTTAATAATTATATAAGTATATATAAGTATACAACCTAATATTAAAACAAAATTTTAATTCTATTAAACTATTTCATATATTTTCAATGCATATGGTTGCTTTAAACCGCAACTAACAATCCTATACAGACACCTCACCTGCCGTGCTTACATTAATTTTATTACCATCACTCAAATGACTTGTCTTTGTTTCGTTCGAACACCGACTGACGTTGCAATCAAGCGCAAAAGCCTTAACAAATCACCGGTGAAGTTAAAACGAAGTGAAATAAGAGTAAAATTAAGTAAAAAATAAAAATATATAAAGAAAAACAATAACAACAACACTTTACAACTACTACCCGCAAACCAATTGAAATGGGTTAGCAAACGGTCAAGCGCAATAAAAGCAAAAATGACAAGAACAACAGCTGTAAATGGAAAATTGCAGGCAGGTGATGAGCCTTTTGGGTAGACGCAGAACACCAAAGTCATTGGATCAAGTGGATCAATGCTGTGGCTTAAAAAATGAGTATACCAAAGGATATTTGCCATTATGTACAACAGTTAAATAGATAAGCGGCAAGTGTTTCATGCCACCGGCAGTTGAAGAAATAAGCAAATAAGGCGCTTAGAATGGTTGGAGGTCAAGCAGGTTGGTGCACCAGTGTGGCTCTACTACCTCAAAATACTTAAGAGAGTTCTTGCATTTGTTGATGCAATTCTATTTACCGACTGTTTTGCTTTTTCACTAGTACTTTCGTTATTTTTGTGCTTTCTGCACTTATCCTTCAAGTAAGTAATTCACCAGCATGCTTAATGTTCGTCTCTTACTTCATGTTGTTGTTGAGTATCGAATTGGATTTGTATATAATGCTTCCGAATGTATATGTTTGTATAATATATATATATATATGTATGTGTGTAACTGAGTCGGTGTTTTGCTGTTGGTTGACCTCGTCGGCTATTGGGTGATTTGGTCATTGAATTGTGCATTCCTTATTGGTGTTGTTGTTGGCTACGGCATTTAAGTGGTGATTTAGTTGAATAATTTATTAAAGGACGATTGGCAGGTGATTACGATTTACCACTTTGAGCGCACAGTGGCACAATGCAGCAGTAGTTACATGTTCATATATATTCAAGTGTATTTGTGCTGCGCTAGGTCTGTTGGTCTGTTAAACAAAAACAAAGGATTTGTTAGACAGACGATTTTCACGCTTACAGATTGGTTAGTCACAAGCCATTGACGTAAGTACTTACTTCGTAAACAATTTGAAGGAAAGTTGTACAGTTTAATTTGATTGCATAATTTTAGGCGCTCAACGTTGGCTGGCGTACGTTTATAGTGAGTGGATTAAAAAATAATTATTCTATTTTCGTTTCGGTTGAAGCGCATAAATAAATAAATTGCGGAGGTTTTTGAGGGATAAGTGAACTCAGAAAAGGAAATGATGATTAACATGTTGTAATTTATTCGAAGAGTTCCCAAGGAATGCCGGTAAATCATTTGTGGTCAATAATTTTGAAGTCAGTTAATGTACATTTGTATGAATTATATTACAAATTTTTTAAATAATGGCTTAAGAAGTTTTATATATTTTTATTTACCAAAAACTTTGTTAGTTAGTCCCAAAATGTGTTTAACTAAACGCTTAATCCTTAAATTACTTTGAAATGCCTAAAAGTATACTATATTATGCAGTTATGTCTCTTTGTTGGAAGAGCTGTGGTCGGATTTTTGTTCTGTAATTGATACGAAATTGAGAAACCACTAAAATTATTTAAAATTGAAAACCGCCTAAAGGTATACTACAATTTGCAATTAAAAAATCAATTACAGAAAGGAATCTGGTCCGATTTTTGGCTTGTAATATTTTTGGGGGGTTTGATGAATGCTATCAAATTGAACATAAGTTACTACATGGGAGCTAACTAATAGTTAACGACACTATCAAATTCAAAAGGTGATACTCTCTTATATAAATTGGCCGACATTGGCTCGATACATTTCCAGGTTTCCGTAAATGGGTAACTATAAAACTTGTAAAAATACCCATTTAGGCTCTGAAAAAAATACCAACGCAAAATATGTCTACTAACCATTTCGTGTACACGTAACTAACCGGGTAGACAGATAACTATGCCAAAAACATAATTTACCATTAATCCGATCCTTCCTACGCAACCGAAAACCTTAGTGTCTTTTGTCAGCAAAGGCTAAATGCGAATTTTCGGTTAAACATTTGGTTTAAATTTTGTGGCACCATCATCACCAATAATATAGTTGATGGACAAAATGATGGTGACAGCGTTACAAAAGCAATATATACTAACAACAATAGAAACAACAGGAGCAAAGAAGCCTATAACGAAAACCTCTTTCAAGCTCATGGAGCTTGGGTGACATTTAAAAGCATTTAAGGGCTATGAAGGTGGCATAAGCATCGGCAAAATAGTCAACAAAGCCGATGACAGCAACAATAAGAACAACGTAGCATCAACCACAGTATGTACACCAAAAATTATAAACTGTTGTGTTGTTTTTGTTAGGACATTCAGTCGTCGCTGTTGTCGTCACCGACCACGCGCTTGTACAGCACTCAACAAGGATTCAGTTCATCGACCACTTAATTTATCCAGCTGAGCTTTGAGCCACGGCTCATTTATGCGTAGTTGAAACAAGTGAATTGCGACAGCCATGCTACGAAGCGGAAGTGTTTGCGGGTGGGGGGTGGCTATGTGGTAGCAAAGTGATGAGAAGCGAGTGCGAGTGAAAGAGTTACAGACTAAAGGCTGGTGAAAGAGTTGAAAATTGGTTTATTTGTGGGTAGGAGGCGTTGAAAATATGAAGAGGATGCTTTGAACTCCTACTTTTTTCTTTTAAATACGCATCTATGTGTAAGCTAACCGTGCAGCAGGCAACAAAAAAGTGCTGTAGTGGTTTGTTGCTTTACCCAATTCTCACAAAGTGCTTTCCATACACACCTACATATAGGCGCTAGCCCGTAACTGACTTGGACTGTAGTTTTTGGATTGCGACTTTCTATTAAATTTTCATTCAACACTGTGTTGCACTACCCATGGCCTGAGTGCTACATGGCAAAAGCAATTTGTAAGCACAGCATAATTTTAGGCACACTACAAGCGTATGGCCGAACAACTATGCGCGCTGCCTATTCATTATGCATTAATGTAAATACAGCAAATGTTTTGCAATCATTAACATAATTGAATTACAAATAAGTGCGCTGTGTTTAAACACACTCACACACACACATATACACAACACACAAATTCGTATACACTAACGTCGAAATCTGCTTGCATTTGTATATGCAGACAAAATACATTTGTACACAAAATCACAAATTTACTAAACTCACTCCCAGCGCGGTGTTTTGCATCTACATGCAGCAGCATTTTAGGCGCACGTATGCTCATGTGCGTTTATATGTGTCCCACACCGTTGGCGCTTTGAATTTGTAATTCCTAATGGCTAGCTTGTGCAAATTTTACTACAAGCTTTTTTAATTACCGTTACGTAGCGGCATTTGCTGCGGTGCAGCAGCACAGCGCAAAAAATAAAATACTGACTAATGGACTTAAATTTGGTCGAGTACGAACGCATAATAAACGTGCTGCTTGAGTGCGTTTTTGAAGCAGCATTTTAGGCGAGATAGACGGCGGGTGCAAAACTACGTAAGGGGGGTAAATTTAAACGCTGAGTGCGAGTCTGGCAACAGACTAATTGTAAATAGCGAATTTTCCAAGTGAATTTGTTTTTCTCTACTTATTTATGTCCGCATTTATCTATTGAAACAAGCACGTATCATAGTGGTGGGTAATAAGTGTTGGTAGACGATGGGCGATACATTGGAAAATTTTTAGCATATTGCGCTCAATTGGGGCATACAATTAGTGTATTGATGCAGAAGTAATTGAGTACGTATTTTTTTCGGCCTTGTGTACATTTTGTATGCATTTCAATAAAGTTGTAGTCAGTAAGTACAGTTACTGGTCATATTAGCAACCTAAATGTATGCTTTGCTTTACAGCAGTGCTTTATGTAGATTACTGAACAGCACCTTCATAAAATGTGATTATTCCAAGTATATTATTTTCAAACCCACGATAGATTATAATTTGCATAACTCTGGACTCACGTTTAACAATATATTTTTTAAGGAATGGCAAAATAGTTCAGCCTAATTGTATGCTATAGAAACCAAAATTGCACCAAATATGCGCCTTCTTTGTTACGGTTTGGAATGGAAAATTCTACTTAAGCATTTAAGTCTTTCAACTTGTCTCGCTCCATTTAACTTATTATTCGTAAATCCACCTTAAACTTAATTTAGTGCCAATTAATCAGCATTACCGTTGCATAATTTTAGGCGCACAAATGTATAAGCTGTATAATATATGTATAAACGCGATTTTAATTAGCCTTGTCAGTCATTTCATTTCGATGAAGTGAAACACTAATAATCGAAATTAGGCTGTCAATAATAGAGTTTATTAAACGTAAAGCTCTAAACAAGTGTCTGGTGACAAATATATATTATACATTCAGCTAGTCAATATTTAATATGCGCTATGGCAACGGGGCATTTCGAATAATTGAAGATCTGAATAAATATTAAGCAATGATAATCCTTTTGTTGTGTAAACAAATTGTTCATCTGGCCATAGGAGAATTATTTGGAAGAACAAAAACAAGGGTTGTGGGAAATTGAAAGATGGTGTGTTAAAAAGATTATATTCTTTTGTGTACGTTTTTTAGTGCTTTAATTTGTTTTTTCTAAGAAAAATTTAAAAAAGATATTATTAATCTCAAATTAAATAGTTTATTTTATTTCATGA